ATAATGATAATAATAATAATGATAATAATAATGATAATAATAATAATAACAGTGAACAGACCCTAAAAGACATACAGATACAGGGTATGGAAATTAAAATTGAAACTAGAAAAAATTCGTGTAGAGAAAATGAGAAAATGTTACAGATAATACTTGAAGTTCACATGAAGATAACCACATTTTGGCCGGAAAACAAAGAGAAGAGAAAAGAAATGAAAAGAAAAGAAAGAATACGAAGGAAAACTTGTAGAGTTAAAAGAGTTCATGACAGTAATCTTCAAAAACATCACTTAAAGCTAAGGAAGATTTCGTGTTATGAAGGAAAATACCTCGAGAATACGTGAGGCCCACTTGAGAAAGAACAATCTTTGCTTTAGTGACGTGCACCAATATGGCGGCCATGACATCATACCAGGACGTGATAGACCCCTTCCAGCATGTCGGAATGCAGCTCAATTTGAAGGAGATAACGATATTTTTTCAATTCTCAGGAGATTGAAATTCGTTTGTTTTTCCCTCCAAATTGAGCTAGTTTGACGTCAAATACAAGGAGTCTATTGTGAAATGATTGATGACTTGCGATCAACATGCCAATATTCTCTAAAGCTAGGATGATTTCATAATGAGTATATTTGGGGTTTAAAAGAGATTTAGAAGTATGAAACTAGAGAAAACATTTGCGCATGGGTGCACTTCAGCACGTTTTCTAAGAATTTTGAAGAGTTTGAGTGAGAAAATAAATGTTTGTTTTCTCCAAGTATACAAAAAAGTTCGCAAGTACACTTTTGCGAGACCAAGATACTGTATTAACAAACACAATATGAAAGAATTAGCCTTAAGTTTCAAGCACGGACACTAAGTTTTGGCATTTTGTGAAGTCCAATTTATCAGGCATGTTTGGTCAAATTTATGTTTTGACTAATTTGCATACGGATTCAGAGCATGCGCAGATGTTTTTCACTCGTGTCTGGAGGTATAACATTAAATTTGTCTTACATTTCGAAACAGCGGAATAACTAAAGCATTCTGTGGTTTTATGGTTTTTTTATTTATTTCATTTTTAATTTTTTACCGTTTTTGTTATTTTATGTCTTCTTCGTCCTTTTTTTAAAGTGCACATGAACCCTTCGACAATACTTTCAGTACTG